ACGCCTACCGGGGGCGGTTAACCGAGGAATCGCATCGGCGCTGTCGAAGGCGCGTAGCGTGACGCGTAGCGTTCGTGTTCCTTTGCATATACACACACTTAGCTTCACGCATCGCGCCAGCCAGCGGCGAACTAACGCCACTTGGGGGGGCAGACATATGAGCACACATGGGGCGGCAGTCACCACCTGGCATCACGGTAGCCGTAGTTGAATACCGACCCACCCCTATACGTACACGTAACTACGTACCCTGAAACGCCGCGCGCGGTGCGACCCCAACCCCTCGACTTGGCTCGTGCCGTCGTACATTGTCGTAGGATAGCGCGACGCCCGTCCCCCCTCCTCCTTCCCCCCGTCGAACGCGAAGGGGGCAGAGGAGAGGAGTGAAGGAAGATAGAGAAGAGAAGAAAGGTCGTGGCAAGACGTTGCAGGGTTGCGGGAAATCGGGTTTCTCTCGACCTTCCTCACCCGTTCCCCGCGTGTACCCTTCGCTTTTCCTTCCCGCTCGCGCGCTCCACCCCGTTCGTTCGCTAATTTCGAATTTCGTATCTGCCGATGTGATTTTTGACGTAGCGTAAAGTCCCATGTAGTATCTGCCAGTGACAAGACAGTATAAGTCAATGAACTTGATGCCCAGCTCGATACGCTGATTGTAATATCGATTTCTGCGAGCCGCCTGCAACTCGTATGCGTACGCGCGCACGCACGCATTACCGAATGTATCTTTTGTGATCGACGTAGCTTACTTGTGTGAGCGAGCGGGAGCTGGTTTGAGTACATGGTACTTCCCCCTCCCCCCTCGGTTTCACCAATAACGAGCAATCCCTGCATTGAGGGGGTCGATAGGTTATCGCTCAACCGGCTCGTGGATGCCACGTGCGGGTACGTTACAGGCGAGTGTACGTCATTCGTCGCAGGTTAATGACAATGGAACGTTTCAACCGTTCTGCGATGCATGGCTAATCGAACCGTATTGTTTATCAAATAACGATATATTTAGAAAAAAAAGGTTTTATTCATGCAAAAAATCAAAGTAATTTTATGACGGATTAAATAATAATAATATTTATAAGATAAACTTTTTCATTGTATACATATTTCAGAGAAAAGATATTTACTGAAATATTTGTTCAATAAACATCTTTCTTAAACGTTTGATTTTCACGAGTCAGATATTATCCGCTGACAATTGTCGCAAGTATTTTAAGCCAAGGTTTAAATACAACTGGAGCCCCCTAGACTCAATTATTTGGCCCGAGACGAGAATTAGGTCAATGTTATATCTTATCTTAATGTCGGTTGGCTAACCGCCGTGGCAGTTAACGTGTTAACTGAGGTTTAACTGATTATTCGTTTGCTCTCGGAGGCAGAGCTAGAAAAGAGATGGGGAGCGCAAAAAACTCAGCCAGTTGTAACGAACGTTTACGAGAACGGTTTAGAATTATCTGCGGTAAACAGTTCAAGGATATTATCAATGTGCTGCGTGTCTGGTTGCTCCCCCGTGCTTTCCTCCGCAGGATCGTCATGTGTGTGTCGCCTGTGTCGGCTATATTCAGATCTGAATTAGACGCAGGATCTCGCGCAGGGCTAACGAAATTTGTCCCAGAATGGATATGTCTCTGTCTCTCTCTCTCTCTTTCTCTCGACGGGAACACGGCGAGAGGCACAGGCTGCGCTTTATTTTTAACTGCACTCGCGGGATCCATACCCTTAATCTCGCATGAGGGCCCCACGCTGGCGGGAAACGGCTGGCGGGTACGTGTTCCCGTGGTGTTTGCGCGCATGTAGGAAACGGATGTCGGGAGGCGTTTATCTAAAATTAGAAGTGTTCCCGATACACCCATCTCTCTCCCTTTCTCTCCTTTTCTCTCTCTCATTCTCTCGCGCGGTATTAGTATTATGATTTGGTCTGCTTGCCATGCACGCTTTGCTTTCGTGGCTTCGCTCCGGAGTGGAGTCACGACCGTTGAAGCGTACTTGCACATGTTACGCAGCCGCAGCCGCTGCCTGTTGCTCGCCGGGGAATGTCGCGTTAATTAGTGGGGGAGACCGATGGTTCGTTCGCGCGGTCGACTTTACGTTGATATAACAAAGTCGTGCTCGCATCGGCACAATTATAATTAAATATAACAGCGGCATGTCGACGAGTGGTTGGATTGATAAGTAACGGGCACTTCCTTACGTTTCGCATTATTCTGTGTTACGTTGCCGGCATTCGTCGGTGTCTTCGACCATAAAAGTCAATGCATGTTGTTTGTATGTTTTCTGAGCGATTTTTATTATATATCAAATTTTATATATTATTTAAATATTGATTATATTATTAATGTAAAAAACAAACAAATTACATAAATATTGATATAAATTATATTAATTAAAATAATTGAGAAATGAAGAATCGTATTATCTTGTTGTAGTCGTCACCACAAGTATTCAATAATTAGTAACAAATGCAACTAAAAATACAAAAAAACTATTTTATTACTACCTAATTTTTTGACTCTCTTTTTTTATATGACCCATTCGTATATAGAAGACTTGTACTAGGACAGAAATAAATACTTTAATTAGTCAGCCCCTTGAATTAAAATAGGGCCAACTTGAATATCTAATTACTCTGATGTAAAGTTGTGCGACCACAAGTTTAATCTGCAAAAGATCTTCGTGTTTAACAAGCACATACTCTTGCCATCTGTTCGAAACTGTGTTGATTAATCTCTTATGACAACTCTATGACACGGGATCTACGGTGCAGGCTGCCGCGAAATATTTAGCAATGCTAAGGAAACTCACCGGTCAAGTAGAAAGGGCAGCGGGGTACGAGCATCAATATGAGGGAAGCGGACCGAGAAGGAACGTTGAGATCAGCGATACGTTGAACGTTGACCTTTACGAGGCCAAGGTTCTCCATTTCAGGCGCTACGCTCGCCTGAAAATTCGCGTCGTGAATCCATCCTACGCGTTTCGACGCGAGTAAGTAGCGCGAGGGTGCGTGTCACGGCTGATGCCTCCGACTTCCTGCGGAAGTGCGTTACGGCGTACGTACTCGATCGTCTCTTTCTAATTTTGCTTTTACTCGCCATCTCCGGTGGAGATCTTGTCTTAAAGTATCGTTTTATCGCATTTTCCTATTACATTCGATTCCCTGTCGAACGCCTTCTTCTCTTTAATCCAATCTGTACATGGTTCGATGTTCAATTTGATCTCGGTCGTGAAAGATACATTTTATTTATCTTCCAAGATAGATGTTGGGTGGTAAAGTAGCGTCGACTAGGCTGATCCCTTAGAAAAACGGCGAAAGAATACTCTGAATGTGGAACCTGCGTCTTTTGTTGAGTATCGTCTCGCGTGGGTTTCTTTTGGGAGTAAAATTCCTAGCGGGAGATGTAGCGCGTTAAGAATCTTATTCGGGATAAAACAAGAAGCAATACAGTGTGAAAAAGATTAGGAGTAGAATGTAGAATAAATTATATATATATATAGTTATCGTAATTTATTCTGTGTATATTATGTACACCATGTGATTATCAAACATGTAAATATGAAGTTTACTTTCAGTTAACGTAACTCTCCATTCTATTTTTAACTCTTCTACTTTTTGTAATTAAATAGCGTCCGCTTTAAAGACATCTTCCTCCGTCTTTTTTTAAATGGCATAAAACTGCTTCCTGAAACTAGTTATGTAGAAAGATTATATTCACGGCATATTCTCGCGTTGTTTTAAATAAATTATTTTTAAAACAAATTTGGTTATATTACACAACGCAAAAAGAATAATTAAATGGGTATTTGAGCAATTTACGATTACACAGTTTGTTAAAATATTTCTCGAAACTATACCACGGGAGATAAAAAATAGAAAATATATGAGACACATATGCCACATGCTAACGTTTTCGTCGCTGAGGATACTCGACGCATCGTATCCCTCGTCTTTTCATTGGTGCGACATGGAACGATTAAACGACCGGTCCCTCCTCGTCTCGTATTCTTCCGGCCTAACTGCAGACTGGTCTTACATTATATGGGAGATAGGGATGACTTTATATACGTTTTGCGCGGCGAGCGGAAGCAACGAGAATCAATGCGAACTAACGAACCCGCGTGTTACTAAATATTTTATGGAGATTATTATATTACAATTCGATAAATTAGAGTTTTTAGTAGACTTTTATGCGGAAATTATAAAAACACTGAATCTCGTTCTCTCGAATTGCGAACGCTTTGTCGGCGGTGTTTGCGATCGTCACCTATCCAACAGTGAATGTTGGGAATCATCCCGGGTGCAATGCCCGAGTCACTATTTTTCCCGATTCACGCGTGTCCCACATGGCACGCACGTGCGACCTATGTCACGTTTCTCAGATTTCCGAGATACCTGGGGTGCACTTGTCACAGGGCTCGCCCGAATTGGACTCCGCTGAGATTGCGATTCGGAACGAATAGGCGAGTCCGCAGATGGTGGTGCCGGTTCTACGATAGTAGAACGACAATAATATCGGGCAGCGTGATAATTCCTCATCATTATCTTTCCGTTCGCGGCGCCGTCTGTATAGGTTTGGCGGCGGGAGACCGATTGTTATCGAAACGCGAGAACGAAAAGCGCATGCCATCCCAAGCAAATAAACGGACGAGTGACCGCGAGGCCGTGATTTCACGCCGGCGGCGTCTTCAAGATGACCGGCATCCGCGTGTCCAGTTCGCACTTTGCGGTTAGGAGATTCGCGAGAATGGGGAAATGAGGCGCATACGGGCTCCATGTGCGGCCCTATGAAAGAGAGAACACGTGTTGTTCCTTCCGGCAATCACGGTTACCGATCCAGTCTTTTGTGCGTGCGAATGTCCGCCGTTATTTCTGCGCGCGAGACATGATTCTTATATTTATTGTGATCTCTTCCGAGAGACCGCGATCTTCCCGTAAGATCCATTTCAACGGCAGGCAGCGCGCCTGCTATGGAACACGATCTCGCTCTATAACGTCTTCCTGTCTTTGGTTTCAGGTACCTTCAGCACCCCTCGTCGCGTCAACGATCCGAAAAGCGAAAGGTGAGTCCATTATCGATATTAATTTGCGATATATATTGTATACAATACAATATTCGCCTGCGTCATTCGTACATTACATTGGTCAACAAAGTTGAACTTATTTTCTGCCTCGGAAACGAAATCAGCTAATCTTTACTAATTTGGGGTCTCTGAATCGCCCCCCTCCCCCGAATAGGTTAATGAAAATTTTTAATTAGTGCTAGTGTCGATGATATAGGGGGAATCTCCAAAAAAAACCAGCTTTTTTGCTATTTTTGGTTGACTGTATTTTTCAACGAAACATGATACATTATTCGGGAACGTCTCAAAAGAAACAACTTATATTTTCTACTTTATCAAGAAAAAATTCAAATTTTGGCAAATATAACGTTTGCATATACTCTTGGGGTGAATTTTAATTTTATTTGCAGAGGTTTATGTACGCTTGTCCGCCTGTCTACATCAATCAGTCAAATATTAGTCAAGATTAGCTGATTTTGTTTCCGAAGCATTTTCGTTGTTGACCAGTGTGATTTATTCGCCCTGTTCGTCGAGTTTACGCCAGCGATCATTTAAGCAGATTATTTAAAAAAATACAAGGTAAATATAAGGCCATTGAATAAAGACGTTAGGAGAAAAAGACTAAAGTATAAAAATTTGAAACAGAAAGAGTACACCCGAGACAAGTGTCTGCGGCGACGACATTATTTACCGTAAACCTGCGCAAGCTATTATTACAGCTGCCGTCGCTGTCTTTTAAGAGTTCACCCTCTATCCGATATACCGCCGTCCGTCGACGTCTAACTTTCCGAAACGAAACGTGCCGCGGTATTTGATCGGCGCTTCAAAGTGAACGGCTTCTCAGCGATTAGAAACAGTTGTACGTTTATTAATTCGTAGAAACGCGTTCTCTGTATAGTTCGTCAGTCGCGTGAGAATTGACCCTCTATAGCTTTTCCGCTCGTTACACCGCCACCGAGGGCTCCATTCATGCTCGCGGTTCATTCATCGCGTTTCACTGAGAGCCTTTTCTCTCTTTGGACGCGGTATCGTCGCCGTTTTCGTATAGTACGTTACACGTTACCACACATCCATCCAGACTTAAGCCCTGGGCTCGGACCCAGACATAGTCCTTGCCTTCGGCATTTTTTCCCCCCACGCCCTTCTCTCTTTCTCCCTCTTCCAGCGTCTTTTTTTAATCCGAAACTGGTGGGAAATGACAGCGCCCTTGTCGCTAAGCCTTTTACGCCTCCCGCGCTTCTGTCAGCTTCCTGCCGGTGTTTCACGTGTCTCCGCTATAAAAGAGGAAACGTTCTGCTTTATCCCGCGATCTAGAGCTATCGCATACGTCCTCTCCGTGTATATCTCTCTGCGAAATAAAGAAAGCCGCTCGTATCACGCAGACGAAAAGTATTGTAGTCGTGCCGATAATCGTAATGCTCGAAACGTGAAGCGAAATACAAAGTGACGATTCTCTTTTCATGTCTTCAAGATTTGGAGATTGCTTACAAAAAATTAGGGTGGGATGTTTTCGTTGGTTATACATATATGTATATGGAAGAGGAATTATTTATTAGAATTATTGAATTTTCTTTTTGCTTTAAATGTTTGCAACTTAATGATGTCAGCGCCTTCGAGTATTAGTTTTCGTGCTTTGGGTGGTCCTGCAGATTTAATTACACGTGCTAGACCCTCGATAGGAGCGAAGGGTGTAAAATAACGTGGGATATCTGAAACGCTGGTGGGTACAAAGAACTCGATATTTCTTGGGAACCACCACATCTATGCCCTTTGTCTCTAGTATGTAACACACGAAACGATCACGCATGTCGTTGTGCATTCGTGAAAAATGTACGTTCAAGATATGTACGTGTATAATTGATTATCATGTCTCATTGATTATTATGTCACTTATATGGTAAACCGACAGAAAACGAGTAAATAAATTAATTTTTTTGTTAGATTTGACGATTAATAATTTTTATCGTTCGCAAATTAACCGCGTAGATGTATCGGAGTTGTATAAGATACTTTTGCGACTCTATCTTGAGTATACTAAAGTGTAGATCATGAAAAGCTACTGTAATTAAGAAAGGGCGTGGAAAGGCACCGGTTTTCTTTGTTGCCAGGCGAAGAATTTATTTCCTCTTGGTATGCTTGGCTTCTTTAAGGGCCTTTCTTGATGGTCCCAGCCATTTACCCCCCTCGTCTACTCGTCTACTCCCGCGTCTCCCGCGACTGGTCCCGCGTTCCTCCTCCTCCTCCTCCTCTTCCTTCTACGTTCTACCGCCTCTATTTATCTTGGTATGAAGAGAAGTATACGACCGAACAGAAAGTCTACTTCTAGTAGATGTAGAATGTAGAAACTTCGTCGTAGAACACGTTCTACGTTTTACGACGCAGTATTTCGAATGGTTTGAATGTAATCTAACGGTCAAAATCTTAATGGTTAGATGCTGGAATTCGAATAGTCACCGGTATCCATTGTTCAATTTGGTTTTTTTTTTTTAGTTAGAGTTGTTTATACTGCCTTACAATACATATTAGTGACAATATATATTAGTTTACATATTAGTAAATTGCAATTTTTATTGCTATAATTAACATTGAATTATTCTAAACTTGTATAAATGTAACTATTGTACAGAAGGGTTCTTTTCGATCTTTTCTTTATCGAAACATAGTTGCTAATTGAGGGAGGTTTGTGCATGAAAAATTATCTGGTATCTCATGATTTTAACTTCTCAAGTATATTAAAATAATACCGAAAAGAATAGCTCTCCAGAACTAAGGACAATTCTAAATAACAATTTCATTTATTAACAATTAATATTAAGAATAAAAAAAGTTGTTTTTGAAAATGGTTTTTTAATTATAAAAGGCTTTTTAATTATAATAATTATTTTATTTATAGCTGGCACACTGGGACCTACTATAGGGGGTTTAAAGTTAGTAATATGAAGTAAATTAAATTTGTAACCTAGGCTGGGGGCGTTTAATACTCCACAGTGCCAGCTAAGGGTTATTATTAATTTATTATAAATTTTTGTAACAAATTATAATTTAAATATTTTATTATAATAAATTTATTACAATTTATTATAGATTAGATTATAAATAGATTTGAAAAATTAACTTTTTTTCTTCTTGGTTCTGAATGTAAATGATACTGATTATTGGGTACCGATTAACGGATAGCAATGATTTCGTTATTTATGTAGATATCGCGAATTTTAGGCCAATATCGCTTTTTTTATCGAACAGTACCACGTATTGTGTTCGTTCCCGACTGGACTGCGAGGAAGCAGCTGATTCTACGAGCGCCATTTTTGTCGCCCGCATTAAAGAGAAGGCGAACTTTAAACTTTATCTTGGTATTACGATAACCGAGATGTTTGAACTGCGCCCTTCCCAGGAAGGTCTATCGTGAAAACTCACGATGTAGAAATGATAACGATGTTTGCGTATTCAAGCCAATCACAGAAATCAGAGAAGATCGAAACGCCATGACGAAGACGATCGTGTCGGTTAACTAAGCGGCAGAGTCATTAAAAGAGAATCGTCAGCCGACTGATAAAAAGAGCAACAAAAAATTTGAAATTCTGTAATTAAATATCTCACGTAAATGCCCGTTGCCGCGTATAAAAACTTTAGAATAAAAGTAAATAAATTTCTGTTTTTTAAAGCTTATTCGTAAGTCTGCAACTTGTGAGTGATTCTTTTTGGGCTGAATTGTTTTATTTAAAATGAATTTTACGAAGATTTAGGATTTTGCTCGGAATATTTGTCGAGCAATCGCTACATCATTTGAACAGTTGACTACTTGCTACATAAAACTTATATCAGGCTAGAATACCCTTTTCATATACACAAGGACCTGGAGAAGAGTTTTGAGATTTTCAGGAAACGCCTTCCGTTTCTTTGTGATACTATCCTCTTGAAAGCGCGGGAAGAAACTGGTATTGTCTGCAGGGATACCAACTTCAACGGTGCGTTGAAGATATTCGTTTTAAAGAGACCGCAGAAATCGTATTGAAGAGTCACATTTCGCGAAACTCCCAAAATCCTCTATCTTGTTTTTTTTTAACGCTATCATCTTCACGAATCGTCAGCAAAAAAGACAACACATCATTAGTTGGGGAGGAAGTTTATTGCTTTCCACCGCTTGATCCGCGACGAGAACCCGTATGAAGCCCTTAATTAAATCTCCAAAAGAGTCCCTTGTAATACCGCTGCTTCGTTACGTTCCGGTCATTGTCCTCGTTATCTTCCTATTACTCACGTCGACGTCGCTCGAACGAGATGCCGTTGATAAGCCGGCGAAAGGGAAGGCGAAAATTCGGAGACATCGGAGAGCCGCAAAGTGATCCGCGGGGAGACTCCCGTTCCGGGATGATACGTCCGGTTATCGGGTCCCGGGTATCTCGCGGCGCGCGGGAAGAAATTTACGGCGCGCATCTCGCGCCCGGCGAATGCAAATGCTCCCGCTTCTCCACGTCTCACGGTTCCCAGGGACCGTCGTTGTATCTTCGCCGAACGGCATTCCAAACGGCGAGGAACAACGCTCAACCATTGGCCGACGTTTCCCGCCAACACGTTCCGGTATGAGAACCAGTTTCGGCGCGTCGTCGCGCCGAGGTAGTCTTCCTTAATCGCCATCGGTGCACCAACGCGCCAATACGCCCGTCCTTCTTCTCATTTCTTTCTCCTTTTCTCCCCCGTTCGTCCCGTTTCTTTTGAGCCCACCCTCTTGGACGGTCGTCTTACAAAGTTGCTTAAATTTCATTCGTTTACGAACTTTGGCATTTGTTCCTTACGCCATTTTCTAATTCTAATAATAGCAG